ACTGACAGGCATATTTTGCAGCTAGAAGTTAGATAATGCTTTTTCTTCCTCTTCCTGGTGTTGGGATTATAGGTGTGTACCACCATACCCAGGTTATGTGGTACTGGGATCTAATACAAAGCTTTGTGAATGCTGGGCAAGTAATCTACCAACTGAGCTACATCCCCAGCCCAGATGCTTTTAAGTCATGTAAATTATTATTGTCTTGGACAAATACGACCACTATTTTAAGAAAATAGTTTCTTCATAGTTAAACAAATGTCATGGATCTATTCTGAAAGTTGACATGCCCCGAAGATTTGTCTGAAAGACTGAAACACATCCAAAGTACAAAAGGAAGAATAATGATGGGAAAGAGAATGTAAGTCCAAACACGAGGTAACTGCCAAGCACCTGCAAAGAAGTCGACGATGTCTTTCTCGTTGCAACTATAAGGAAGTCCTCTCAAGCGAACCACACCATCATTTACCACAGGTGAAGATTTGACCTGCAGGCTCTTCATTAAGGCATCCACATCTTCATTGTTTATCTCATATACTACAAAAAAAAAAAAAAAAAAGCACAAAAATGTATTCAAAACTTATACAACAAAGGAAACCCAACTTAAAAAAAATCAAATTACACTGTTGAATTCAAACATTGTTTTAATCCTTATGAATTTAATCTGTCAAGAATATAACAAGTAACATTAACTGAATATTTACTGTGTTCCAGTTATAATCATTTAATCCTCACAACTTTATAATAAACTTGGGCAATACTTTAGATTTAAAAACTGAGATTGAGCCAAGGAGACGGTTCAGCAGTTCCAAGTGCACTAGAATCCACAATGGAATCAACTTCCTCCAGCTCTTCTCTAGTATCCCCATGTGGACCCTATCACACATACACAAAGAATCAGAAAAACTATCTTTAAAAAAGAGAGAGAGAGAACAAGCGAGCTGAAGAGATAGCTCAGCAGCTGGAGGCAAGCACTTTTCTTCCAAGAGGACCCAGTTTGGTTCCCAGCAGCCCCAGCAGGTAGCTCACGACCTTCCACTAACTTCCGCTGCAAGGGATCGGACACCTGTCAGCTCAGGCGCCAGCCTTCACATATACATTCCACACCCAGATACAGACACACAGACACAGACACACAGACACACACACACACACACACACACACACACACACACACGCTTCACTTTCACAAGCTGTAAAATAATGCCTAACACGCTGTCTGAAAAATGCTAATGACACTTAATTCTTAGTAAGCTAATGAAAAACCCAGTGAGATGTGTAACATCTAACTACTGTACACTGTTAAAGATGTCCTGACAACGGCCTGGAGAAGCTGACAGTCTCAGAGTTCACCTGAGTTCACACACCTTCCACGTAGCGCTGCCCCATGTACATCCGGTGCTTTTCTAAGGCCTTCTGCACGTCCTGCTCCGACTCCATCTCAATTAAGGCATCGCCCCTCCGTTTCCCATCTCTATTTAAGAGGAAATGGATTCCATTCTCACTGTTGCGGATCCTGCAGTCTAAAAACACATGATTAAAGTCACTTAAAAGTAGAAATCAAACTTTTGTCTCAATTCTACATATCACTACAATGCAATTTTCCAACAATGCAGGAACCAAAAATGCCTACCAAATCCTCTTAATCTTTTTGTACAACACACTCATGTCACATTTTCCCTCCTTCAACCACTCCACTCCCAGATTCTTTTCTTACACCCACCGAAACCATCCAAATGCTAATGAAGGTGGTGGCGGAGTCTAAAAATGTCTGGTCCAAGTAGAAAAGATAAGTGGCGCACGCCTTTAATCCCAGCACTTGGAAGGCAGAGGCAGGTGGATCTCTGAGTCTGAGGCCAGCTTGGTCTACAGAGTGAGTTTCAAGACACCCAGGGCTACATAGGGAGACCCTGGCAAGTTGGGGGAGGGGAGATTAAAAAAAAAAAAAAAAGAAAGCAAACCAAGCTCAGAAGCTCACTGTTGCCCAACCATTAAATGGTATCTTCCTTTAAAAACAGATCCATAAAGTACTTCCTGCAAAAATAATCACTACAATAATCTAACTTCCCCCCTTTTCCTTACACCCAAAGACAACTTTATACTGTGCATTTCTTATTATGCAAACCCAAAACATAAGCAGTGAGTGACTTTTAGAATGTCTGACCCACATGGCGCCATCGAGTTTACAGTAGTTGATATGTTCGGTTTAAGAGGAAAACTTAAAATCACAGTCAGAGTGGTAATAAAAACTGACCACACACTGGGAAATTTCCCAGACATAAAAGAACTGGCGAGGATCTTCTAAAACTCTACTACAGATCCCTGTGGGCATAGTTACGCACATAGTAAAACTTGAGTGCTAACTGATTTCACACTCCATAATTTTAACAGTACTTACTTTTGTTATATTCAGTCTTTAAACCTGTATGTACTACATATGGTACCCACAGTGGTACATGGTATGAATGGGTAATCAGCCAGAACAGGGACCATTCCTCACCCTCAGGGCTGCCTCCGGAGCATCTAGACTTGGATTTTGTAGGACTTCCACTCAGACCAAACTGCTTACTCAAAACACATGTAAGATATACCTGAGAAAAAGTTAAGAACATCTTCCACAGTGCAGGACCAAGGCAGTCCCTGAGCACGAATGAGATAAACATCATCCACCTCCTGTCCTAACTTGGACGGGCTCAACTCATACTCGGGCAGTGGTGGGAGGTCTTCCAGGTAGGTAGTTTTGGACTCCTTTTAAGAAAAAAAGAATTATAAAAATATTTTTTGGACAAACTACTTAGAAAATGCTTACACCTACAAACAGATGCACATAATGTTATTCCAAGTGAAAAACACACTTCTCCATCCTCTGGTTTTGTTTCAGTTTGAGCATGTGTTTCTCCATGTAACCCAGACTGCCCCAACCTCACCATAATCCTCCTGCCTCAGCTTCCAGAGTGCTGGCTACAGGCTTACTCTACCAGTGTGGCTTTGTTTTGGGTTTCTATTTTATATCCTAAGACAATATGCAAGTATATTCTGGTGGCAGTACACGCACTAAAGGCAACAGTGCCTTCCAAACACTGGCAGTTAAGAGTAACTCCATTAAAATCGGTACAATGGTCCCTGCAATTGACAATATTTAAGGGCCCCATACACACAAAACATTTCAGGCTATCATCTCAAAGCACTATCTAGAACAAGATGACTTATGTGTTCTTTATGTGTTATAATCAAAATATAAAATATTGGAGATTAAAAAATACTGAAAAAAGAATAAAGATATGAGATGGCCTTATAAGAGATAGGGCATTCCGATTTAAGAGGGATGGGGAAATAGTGGCATTTGAAAAACCCCAATCCCATTTGTCTAAATTGGACGGTAAAATTAAAAGCCAAACATGAGCCGGCAAAAAAAAACATGAGCTGTCAGTACCAGACAGTAGCGGCTGGCCTTGCGTGTTGGACTCAATGAAGGACACTTCACTTGCTAGGCAAAGGGAGTTAATAAACAGACATGGGGACGTGGGTAAAGGATTAACGTGAGAACAAGTGGATAAGGGAAAGAACATCAAAGGCAACACTGCTCCTTTCCTTGTTTTCCCAGAATTCCATTAACAACTCAGGCTTTTGCCGAAAAGGGCAGCAGAAAGTATTGGGCCGGGATTCAAATCAATTAGCTCAGCTACTGGCAGACATCAGCCATGCAGATTCACCTCCCAGACAGCATTAATTCAAGCAGACGCAAAACTGAGTTAAGATAAACATGGCCCGTGGCATCAGGGGATAGCCAGACCAAAAGCGTGCGCACACTTCCTGGATGCCATGTAAGACACGAAAGAGAAATGCTTCACATACAGAGGACAAACAAAACATTTGCAATATGAATTTTTAAAACGTCTTTCTCAAAACGATAGAGAAAAAGAGCCTCGGTTCACAACCGAGGCCCCTAAATCCTCAACCCACGGACGCCCCCGCCCATCATCACACGTTCTCCCCAATTTCCCACGGTCTCCCCACAGCTCTCCGCGTCCGCGGAGACCCGCGGCCCGAAGGCCCTTCTGCCAAGGCAAGTGGACTTGCAGAGGTGACCTTCAGTCAGGTGGACGCCCGCCTGTCCCCGCGGACGCGCGAGAGAGGGGCGCGCGGGGGGCCCGTTCCCAGGCTAGCCCACGCTCCCGTGCGCACGGGGCTGGCTGCGCGTCGGTGGCCGGCCGAGGAGGCCCGAGCCACCCGGCCTACCGCTCCCACCGCACGGCCGGCCCCGACCCTCGGCGGGCTCTCCGGCCTCTCCAGCTTCACCTCCAGCGGGCGGGCAGAAGGCTAGGGGGACGCGGGGTGGGGGCGTTCGGCGGGCCCCCCAAAACCTACCATGGGCCCGGCGGGAAGCAAGGCCTCAACATCCACCCCAGCCACACTTACACTGCCCAACCGCCCAGACTCGGAGGGAACAAAACAAGGAGAAGAGCCGGGGCCGGGGAGAGCGTCCCTTGTTCCCGTGCCCAATAGGAGGACGGAGCGGGAGGGAGGCGGGGGTG